AGCTATTTGGGCCCGAATATGCTAGCCAACTGGCAGGCCAAAGACGAAATCAAGAACCGAATCGCGAAGGCTAGAAATGCATTTAGGCTGCTAGCCAGACCACTCTGGTCTCGCTCAAACATGCGTTTACGTACAAGCTGCTGATATACAAAGCATCAACCAGACCGGTGTTAGTATATGTCTGCGAAACGTGGCCAGTGAGAAAGGCAGACATCCTGTCGCTCGAGGTCATTGACCGTTGGTGTCTTCGATGCCTCTTAAGTCTTCTGGCAGGATCGAATTTCCGATGTCGAGCTAAAGCGCTAGATGACGCAGGTGATCAGAGGTAAAAGGGCCGTGCACAAACACTCATATCAGCTATAATTGAGTAGCAGTGCTGTGCGACTAAAAGCGAACCAGAGGTCAGATTGTAGTGACAAAAGGGCAGAAACTGGTTTTGTCCAAACACATCTCGAGCTACTAGCAGATGGAGCAGGAAAGGACCAACTCCAGCCAATGTCATGAATAAATCAATGGAAACGTAATCCTGCTAGTAATATACAACGATAATGTAGGGGACCAGAAGACCTCAAGTTACTGATACCAGGTGCATTTAGACACACTACATTAGGAGAAGTCCTGCTGACATCACGTTTCTGCATTGGTATCTCGTTCAAGCACTGGTACTATACGAAGATGCCTCCAACACAGAATATCAGTCGGTACCCCGAAGCTTATGTAAGTAAAGTAATAAACCATTGATGAGGGACAAAAAACATAAACCAAGTAGTGGCCGAGGGCGAGGAAATCTGACACTATCATAAATATAACAAAATAAAAGTCAAGGGAAGGATATAAAAAGAATGTTTGCTTACTTTATCGTTAAGGAAGCCGATTTTCAAAATATTTACATGGGAATCCACGCTTTTTCCAGGAATGCCGTCCGCCATGTTTGGATCGGCCGAGGAATCCCCCAAAAGAATAATTGAGGAACGTTTAGACAAAACGTTCGTCATGTATTCGCTGTTAGAAATGCTTGAGATTGTTTTGTTGAAAGTGTGGATTACAGGCTCTTGGAACCCAATCAATAGGCCCTAAAAATAATGCATCAAACATGCTTTTAATTTGTTTTAAAACGCTTCTGTAATCTACCTCCTTTTCCTTAAAAGTAGCTTTACTAGTCAGAAATTAAAAGTTCTACGGGCAACAACCGAGCAAAGTGTCGGGGAATCCCTATGCCTAAACAGTTATTATGTCGCACAAGAAGCAATCTTACAAAAAGTCTCCCATCAACAAAATGCAAGCGTAGGTTGCAAGTGCGGAATTAGAATCGTGTTTTTTGGTTAAAGTAGGTTACAGACATGATGAGTTTTGGGCATGAAACTCGATAGAGGAAACGCTTAGCAGTACGTTGGCAATTTAAGCAAGCTTATTCGATAATGACCTTTAAAAAGCTTCATAGTCTCTGTTGACAGCGACCATACTAGCTAACAGCGTATTTCCAGAAGATGCAGAACACTTATTCTGGTGTTTATCATCGAAAGTCTCACGCTCATGTCCAAAAATATTCATTGTCGATAAAACCATAATTCACTTGAAATACATTGGACTATCACTCTTTAGTTATCAAAAAGTAGATGGGAGACTAGATTACTCAAAGAATAAACAGCTGCTGGCTCCCATGCAACATGTGAATACAAAAATTATGTTCACAAGTCACCTTAAAAGTAAATAAGGGCTGCAGAGATACTTTCGCTGTCTTAGTTGCGTCTAAACTAAGCTTTTCTCACCTGACATTCAATTTCATCAATTACCTAGAATGTGCTGAAAATCGTGTTCTTCTTGCGCACTTGAGGGTTAGACGTGGCCTAAAGGACCGAATCGACTAAAAGGTATGGTCCTATTGGATTAACTGTTGGCTGGCAATAAAACGTGATCCCTCACAAGAGATAAAGTTAGGCTGGCTTCTAGGGAGCAGGTCTAGCCTAAGTTTACTAGGTTTTCGGAACTAAAGATAAAGGTGAATTTACATGATCGAAGGTTAGAAAATAGAACGATAGATATGAAGCGGCAAAGTACCTCGTCATTAAAGTCCATGAAATTGGAGACTACTCGAACGTTGTCAAAACACAAGTGAAAACGTTCCAGAAGAAGTTCTATAACGTTCCCAAGGCCAGCAGAAAATATCAGCAGAGGAATATTTTCTCTGTGCAACTGCGCCATGAAATCTCCTACATGGTCTCTGAAATAAACAAAAAAGAAAGTGACTGTCTAAGTTGAGGACTGAGGAAGTTGAGGATGAATCAAATTAGCAAAACTAGACGTGAACCAACAAAGACTTGACCTACGGTGCACAACTTCATGTTATCTGAATCTTACCCGACTTTGTTACATCGCACTACTTAGTAGGTTCGAGCGAATAGACACGTTTGTGGCTCTTCAGGACCTGTGACAATAATGGACACAATGCGGCTGTTCTAGCCTGGACTATTCGGTCTCGATGACGTAGAAGATCGTATCTTCGTGTATGGGAATCAAATTGGAGCCCAACTCACCCTCTTCTTTATCGACAAAGACCTGATACCGAAAGTCTAGGAACCACCTTCTTATTTTGACGGGCTATGAAAAGGCAAATTTTTAGGCTGAATTTCCTTCAACGCCTTAATATAGGCAGTGGCGTAGGGTGATGAACCACGACGCAGAACGTCATTCTCGGATAGCCTGAGAGATCATTGTCACAATATCGTATTTTACTCGAAGGGTAGGTCTGGGAAACGGTGACAAAACATCTGGGATTTTCGCTCAACTTCCGCGCAGACAACCTAGCATTCATAACCTACATGAGGACTGACTAAATGGATGTTCGATGGAGC